GGAATGTTGTAGTAACAATACCGATACTATAATCAGTGTTTTCGACATACAATATAACGGTAATATTCTGCATTTTTTAAATTTTTTCCACAAATATCCTTTCTTACATCTGTCCAGTTATCTGACATTCATTTATTTCAAGATTTCGAGCTTTTTGCCATCAATTCATGAGTTCGCTTACTTTTGTCCATTTCTAACGCCTAAACTTTGTTTCTTTTCGCCGTGCAAGATTACATTGAACTGAATCGTTTTGCAGTGAATTTTTGAAAGTATGTCCAGGTAAGATTTGAGATTCTACACATGATTTGAGCTTTCTTATTGCTATATTCATCCTTTTGAACGGTCTTGATTTTGCACCGGTTATCACTCAGATTTAGACTTATGATTTATATCTATTCTTAGTGCTATATGGATCACTTTATACTACTCCATTCTGAGCCATTCTTAATCTGCTAAAGTGCAGTTATTGACTCATAGTCTTTTAGCCTTTTCAAAGAAGCAAGAAAATAAAGCCTGATTTCATAAATCTATTCATGCTCGAAGTCATCTATGATGTTTAGAGTGGGAATTTTCGGAATAATTGGGCGAAGTTTTTTCGCTATACTTCTTTTTCGATTCCGAGAAATTTCTCGAAAGCGCAAGCTATCTCTATGTCGTGGAAACGTGTACGTGATGGTTGCCGTCAGCAGTCGGACTGTCGCATCGGGACGATGGCATTCAAATGTATAGAGGATGTGCGTGTTGGTGTCTCGACCGTCGCTGGTCGGTGGTTGCTAGCAGCAGCAGCCTTCGCTGCGTCTCTACCCCTCGTTCCTCCCTTGCCCGATCGCTCGGACCCTTCCCAGCTCGGCTTCGTCACCTTTTCCGTGCTTCGGTGTCGTATAAACACTCCGACGAGAGCTGGGAGAGTGTGGAATGTGAAGTGGGGATGATATGTGGTGAATGGTGGAGACGAGGGCTGCTGTCGGAAAGGGTTTGGAGAACAAACTGAGAAAAAAGAATTGCATGATGAGGTGTATGATAGTGAAGGACAGTTCGCGATAAGTTCTTGGCCATGAATGTTGGCGGAGCAGCAAATATACAGAGACTAGTTGAGTGTGAAGAAGTTCTTTGAAACAGCAATCTAGTGAATTGGTCTAGCTCCCCCCTTCTGATTGATTTGGAAGAGTGGTACTAAGCCGCGACTTGTCTTAGTACCTTCTACCTTGTTTCGCTATC